TACAAAAGTATACAGAAATATCTGTCGAAACTTTATTAAATTGCAAGCAATTGAAGTTTGCGTTAAATGAAACAAAACAAAGATAAAACAATGGCGATATAACAAAGATAAAATCGTCATAAATAAGCTTTAACTAATATTTTCATATACTAACTTTTATATTTGTTTTGACTTCTAGAATCAACTCTACAAAGGTATACCAGATCCACGAATATATTAATTGTATATGAAATGTATATAATATAATATTAATAAAATAAATGTTAATAACAACATTTAACATTAAATTATATATTATTCAATTATACAAAAATTTCGACCGAAAAATTATCGATTTTTAAACTATTACTATATTTTAAACTTCGTAAAAAAATCGAATCATCAATTCATTTTAAAACACAAAACTTATTTTTATCTTAAATTTTATTTCTTCGCTTTTTGTTCTACAAAACAAAAAGCGAAGAAATAATAGAAAATTAATTTTTTTTTAAATTTTACAAATTCAACCGATTTTTAGAAAAATTTTTTCAGGATTTGTTTTGAAATCATCATAAAATCATAAAATCATTTAAAAAAAAAATAGAGGGAAATAAAAAATAATTTAAAATCATGATAAATTGCATTATTGAATTTGCGTTTTATATATGGTTAGTATATTCTTATGTGTTATTATATACTTTATATATTTAAAAATTAATAAAAAACGATATAATAAAACATATGGAACATAGAAAAATATGCTCGAGCATTGAAATAGATATACTATCAATAATCATAGACTAAATATTTCAAAATTTAATATTCCTTTAATTTTGTGAAATAGTATATTTTGGATTTAAGTATTATATTTTTTATTAATCTTATGTATATTATACATATAATATTATATATATTTTATATTATATATTATATATGTGTAAAATTAAAATTAAAAATAATTTTTAATTACTTTTAATTATTTTTAAATTTTTAAATATTAATTTATTGTTATCTTCATAAACTTACATAATTCAGTTAAGTTTTAAAACATTAATTTTTAATTTATTATTATTTTTCAATTAAAATTACATTTTAATAAGATATGATTTTTTTATTAAAAATGTATTGTATATATATATATAATCTATTATTATGAAAAACTAATAAATAAAACATTATATATAAACGTAAAATAATAATATAATTATGTATAAATATGAAAACATAAAATGTTATTACAATATATGTTTTGAAAGTAACATAATATATAACATAATATAATATCTTTGTCAATAAATTATCTTTTTCATTTTATAATTATATTATATTTAAAAAATTGTTATGAATATCAATTTATAATTATGAATATCAATTTGCATTTTTTTATATTTTATATTAGTTTTATGACATAATTATTATATATACATTGCTAAAATTTAAAAAAATCATATAATTTTTCTAAAATAATATATAAAGTTGAATATTTAAATAATTGATTATTGAAAAAATTATTTAAACTAGAATATTGATTTTAAATTATAATATAGATTTTAACAAAATTTAACACTCTGTTTGTTAAAAAAATATTTTTGTCTTATATATTAATATTGTTCAAAACATTTATTTTTTATTATTATATATTTTTTATTATATATTTATAATTTTCTTTTATTATTATATTATTTATATTTATATATAAGTGAAAATAAAATATGATACATTTCTTATTTATAATAAAATATTTATATAATTTTATAGAAATAATATTGAATTTTCCTTATTAGCTATAGTAAACATAAAAAAAAAAGATTCACAATTTGAAAACAAACAAATTTTATAGTATAAATTCAACTATTTGCATTCTATTTCTGCATATACGCGCAATATAATTAAATCAATAGATTATATTTATGTTTTCTTTCTATTAATTTATATTAAATATATTTAAAAATATTAAATTTGTTTTGGATAGTATGAAAGGAATATATATAATGATAAAGCATAAATAGAAATAATTTGCGTAATTTATTACACAAGTAGCACAGCTATAATTGTCTATTAATTTTGATATTTCAGAAACTATTAATTTTGTTATGAATACGATCTATTTGCAAAAGAACATTACTTAATTATAGTTTAAATAAGTAACAATAATCCCAATGTATAATTAAATTTTAAAAAATATAGATTATAGTCAATTTGTTTTAAATTTAAATAATATTTATGATATTGATACATCAGAAACATCTTAAACATAATAGTTTTTTCTATTTTTACATTTCTTTATTTAATTTTAGAAATGTTACTAACGATTATTTTTCATTTTTTCCTTTCTTTTTAGTTGTTGAAAATTTTTAATATTCAAATTTGAACTTTAAGATGCTTCCCGTCTTCTCATTGTGTTAATATCTCCATTTCTTAATCTATTCGTTTTCTTTCCAGTGTTATTTTGAGATTTATTTTCTGAATCAGAAGATCCACAGTTTATATGAGAAATATTTTTGCCATCTAATGCTATCCGTATAGATTTCACTAAATTCAAAGGACCAGTATAACTCTCTTTAGTCCCTGTAAATAAATATATTATAATAGAAAAATTTCCAAAATATAGTAATCTCTCGCTTAATATAGTTAATTATTTTAATAATAAATTTTTTTCTACATTAATTGAATATAAATATATATAAAGTATATATTATAATTCATTCAAAAATATTTTTCAAAATTTATGATACACTGTGTATGTATTTTTGCATATTATTTTAAATACTCATGTAAAATTACAGGAAAAATATAAAAACATAATAACAAATAAAACATATATAATTATGAATTTTTTTATTAGATGAACAAATTAATTTCTTTTTTTTTAATTAATATGTATATTTTTCTATTTCCTTTTCTTTCCATATTATTCTATACTATTTTTATATAACAATTTATAAAAATACTTGGTATTGCTTAAAATTATATTAAATAAAAACAAAACATTGTAACTTATAACTCTGTAAATTCGAAAAATGTACTAACGAAATGTATTAAACGAGAGATATAATTTATCTTAAGTGATAAATATATAAATCAAAAATAAATTTTAATATTAAAAATATTAAATATTAAAAATAAATTTTACAATATAATTTTTATGTTTTTTCCGAAAAATTCACTCACCAAATTTTCTATCCAAATATAGCTTTCTTGATTTTATTAAGGAGACCATCATTTTCAATATTCTGTTCACTTTGCATATTCTGTCTCGCTTGAGTTTTTACCCTTGGACCTGCCAAAATAATACGTACAATTTCAAAATAAAAGAATTTATAAAACGAATAAATTATAAAAATAGATAAAAATATTCTGATTCGATTAATTTACTAAATAATTTGTTAATATTTTTTTTTAAAAACATAAAACACTAATGAAACGCATATATAAATTTTTACATCATTTATTAATTAACAAGGGCAGGTACACATAAGGAAACTCAAGCGACACATAAATCTAATCTTATATTATTTTATAAAAAAATTATTTAAAAAATTCTATATTTGATAATAATTAAGTTCAATTTATTTAAAAAAAATTCGAATATATCAGTTTTTCGGTATATATTTTTAGCTAATCATATATTCTTCTTTGTCATGATTTGTCATGTTTATTCTTACCATCTGTTTTGTATGTTATGCCATGTATACTTCCAGGTGTATCATCTTCGAGTTCAGCATATGCTTGAAGTAATGCTAATTGTTTATCATTTAATTTTGTAGGTACGACAATTTTAATTTGTACATAATGATCTCCATATCCTACACCATTTACTTTTTTCATTCCTTTACCACTGAGTCGAATTTTAGTATGAGACGAAGTACCAGGTCGAATTTGTATGGTATGATCCTCATAAACGCCTTCTATTCTTATTGTACCACCAAGTACTGCTTGTGATAATGAAATTTGAGCATCTGTATGTATGTCTGGACCATCTCTTCGAAAGTATTTTGATTTTTCCACACGGAATGTTATGAATACTTCTTTGTTACCAACAGCCATCCGAATTGTTTGACCATCTTCGACACCAGCTGGTACTGGAACTACCACTTTTTTACGTTGCACCTATTAAAATATTTAATATAAGATGTAAAATTAAAAATTGTTTTTATTTTTATTTATCTTAAATCTTATTTTTTAAATTAATTATTTATTTTTAATCAATATGATATATTTTTATACCGTTTGTCCTTTTCCTTGACATTCCTGACAGGGATATTTAATAAACATTCTGGTACCTAAACAATAACGGCAACTAGATCGCATTACAAAAGGACCAGTGCTAATCGTTTCCATTCCAGTTCCATTACAATACGGGCATCTAACTGCTTTTGTTCCAGGTTCACATCGTGAACCTAAACATTTTGGACATGTATCTACTACATTTAGTTGTATATCTTTATTGACTCCTCTGGCAGCTTGAGGAAATGTTAAATTCATAATAACCTAAAAATCAGAAACAATATTAATGCATAAAAACATAATGTATATATCCATGTATGCATGTTAAAGTAATGCAAATACAATAAACTTAAGAGAGTAAATAAATTTAGCATTACCCGAATAAATTTAGAATTTTACAATTTATATATAAAATTGAAAATATAATTATATCATATTATTATATATTATTATTATCTGCAATTTTTTTGTTTAATAATCTATATTAATTTGAAAAATGGTACCCTATATTCTAAATCATTGTTTAATAAATTTTTATCATTTAAATTAAATAAAAATACAGTCAACATAGAGTAATTGTTTATGTAAGAACATTCTTAAGAAACTTAATAAAATTGATAGATGATATTTCTTTGACAAATTGTTTGAATTTATATTATATGCATTTTTACTTATTATATACAACCAAACAGCATTGAGTAAAACACAATTTATTTTGGTAAAATTTAAAATATATTTAATATATTTTATATTTATTATATTTATTATTATTATATTTAATTATTTTATATTTTATATTTATAATATATTTCAATTAAATTTCATTAGATTTTGTGGATAATTTAAATTTTGGATAATATTAAATTTGTTTATTCTCTTAATTTTATTTGTAATATATAATATATACCTCTTGAGCTGCTCCAAAACCATATTTTGAATCTTGATAATCTTCAAAATCATTAAAAATATTAGTTTGAAATCCAGTTTCTCCAAATATTTTTCTAAATAATTCTTCTGGATTAATTGATGACCGAAATTGCCATCCTTCATTAAAGTCTTTGGTATGACCAGTACCCTGTTGTCCCATTCCCATTTGTTCTGATGTAGCTCCCCATGTATCATATTCTTTTCTTTTATTATCATCACTTAATACTTCATATGCTTCTGAAACTTCCTGAAACTTCTTACTTGCATCTGGATCTCCTTTATTTGTATCAGGATGATATTTTTTAGCAAGCTGATAGTAAGCCTTCTTAATATCTTTTGCTGAAGCATTTTTGGATACACCCAATATTTCATAATAATTACGTTTTAATAGTTTTTGCGTTGTATGTATTCCTCTTTGAATTTGAGTTAAATTTCCTATCATACCTGCAATTATATTCAAAAAATAATAATTTGTACTATAAAAGATTTTTTTAAATATAATAACAATAATAATGAAGAAAAAAATGTATATTTGTTTAACGAAATTATATAGAAAATATTTCACTATTAATTCTCTATATTGTAAATTATTTATTTTTTTTTATTGAAATTATTTCCAAAAATAAAGTATTAAAAATAAAAGATATTTTTATTTTACATATATAATAAATTATTATAATAATTGTAAGTATATAAATTGAAATAACATATTATTAATTTAATAATAAAATGAATAAAATTATCTTAAAATAAATAATGGAAAATTTATAAAAATATAAAATATTAATTTAATTTATTAATTTATTTATTTACGTGAAGAATTTAATAACATATTATTGAAAAATGTTAAATATTAGTATAAAACTATTATGTACAATTAATAAGTGAAATAATAATTGGATAAGAAAAATTAATCTAATATTATTATAAACAACTGTTAATAGTAAAGAAAGAAGGCATGGTTATGAAGTATTAGGTTATATTTCACTTTGAAAGTATTTTTTATTGAAAAATTCATATGACAAAATAAAATATTCATAATGCTATGTATAATTTAAAATGAAAAATTTTTGTAAAATAGTAATATATTATAACTATATTTAAAATAAATTAGGCATTATCAAAAATGTATGATGTAATCTGTATTCATGATTAAACGCATACATTACATTTTTCTATTTTCTTTAAGTTCCAGTTGCCGACACCCAATACTATTGTTGTATTAGATTGATGACATGTGCTACATTTCTGCACAATACCACATGACAATTTATTTAATTTATTATTGCTGATAAAATTAATAGTCTTTGATCGGAAAACGATTGCAAGTCCTTTGCCGGTCGCCATGTTGCATAAAAGACGCATGGCTGTACTATCACGTGATACATTGAAATTAAGTATATATATATATAAATACATATAGTTATAGTATATTTCTAGAAGTCATATAGAATAT